CGCTATGGGTCGGAACCGACTCGATGGCACATAACAACAACAACAATAATTATCGGAGGGGTCGTGGTGTGGTGCTGTGTGTCAATGCGCTGAACTGCAAAGTCAGTTTGAACCACAAAGTTGGCGGTTCAAATTCACCAGCTGCTCCTTGAAAACCCTATACAGAGTCACTCTAAGTCAGAACAGACTCAAAGGCACTTAACAACAACAATATAATTATTGGATGAATGAATGATTCTATTTTGTTATTACATTTGCTTGATTCAGGTAGATTGCTAATGGGTTTGTTTATCTAAGTATAACAAATACTGTCATAATGAGATGCCAAAACAAATCATTTGTTCAGATTCATGTTCTTAATCAAAAAAAAAAAAAGATGATCTAAGAACCATCTGGAAGCTAGAACTTTTTTTTTTTTTTTAACTTTTTATTGTGAATTGAGTGAAGGTTTACAGACAAGATCATCAGTTTTACATTCAACAAATCATACACTTTGTTTCATCTCAATGATTACAACCCCCACAGCCACTGCCCATGCAACAAAGGTTATCCCACTTCCTCCCTGTGGTTCCTATCTACTGCTTGGCTGAATATTGGGCCAAGAGGGTAAGTTCCCTTCCAGACCTAAAAGGTGGTAGAGGGACACAGTCTCAGGCTCCTCCAGGCTCGTTCTGACCAGTAAGCCTGGTCTTTATTTTTAATTAATAATTTTGAGGTTTGTTCCATATTTTTTCTCACTCCATCCGGGATCTTCTAATGTGATCCCTTTCAGAGCCGTTGGTAGCAGTAGCTGGGCACCATCTAGTCCTCTGGTTTCAGAGTTGTGGAGTTCACACGTGTAAACTAGTTCTTGACACCAGCCCATAGAATCAGAAATTCTAGCAATGGGCCAAGAGATTCTGATGATTATCCCCAACTGAGAATTACTGGTATAGAACCCACCAGAAAATCATAGCATGATTCTAAATGCTACCCTTTCTTTGGTGGTGGTGGTGGTATGCCATGGAGTCAGTTCTGACTCATAGTGACCCGGTACAGGGTTTCTAAGGCTGTAAATCTTTACAGGAGCAGAAAGCCTCATCTTTCTCCCATGGAACAGCTGGTAGTTTTGAACTGCTGACCTTGAAGTTAGCAGGCCGATTCATAACCACTACGCTACCAGAGAAGTGAAAAAAATACATTATCTGTATGAGAACTCATGCATAACATGTTGTTGTTAAGTGCTGTCAAGTCGGTTCCTAATCATAGCGACCCTGTACAACATTTACAAGGAGTGGCTGATGAGTTCCAAGGAGTGGCCTTTTGGTTCAAACTGGCTTTGTGGTCCAGTGCTTTCTCTCACAGTACCACACCAGGACTCCTCAATTTCATGTTGTTGTTGTTGTTGTTAAGTGCCATCGAGTCGGGTGCGACCCATAGCAACCCTCTATAGGGTTTTCAAGGAGCAACTAGTGAGCTTGAACCTCCAACTTTGGGGTTCAAACTGACTTTCAGTTTCATAGAACCAAGAAAAAAATCTTTATATTTTGAATGTGCCCTTATAGGTGTTTATAGGCCTTAATGCAGTATTTTTTAACAATACCACGTCACTCAGTCCTTACAATTATCTCAGGATGAAGATCCTGTTAGTGACATTTTAGAGTTGTCATTTAGAAATAGGATCAGATAAGTTAGTTTGTAAAAGTTCACACAGCTATTAAGTGTCAGAACTACAATTCTAATTAAGTACTATTTTTGCTGCTTCAAGTTACATTAGCTCTCAAATGGCCATAAATATTTACAGAAATCAATATAATAACTATTTTTAATAAATAGTAAATACAATGGAAAATCTGTCATTGTTGTTAGCCAGTGGCTAGTTGGTGATTATTATGGGTACATGTGTGTGCTAACATATGTGTTTGTCAGTTGGCCCTCCTCATCGTCGGGTTCCACAACCACAGATTCAGCCAATCACAGATCAAAAATATGTAGGGGAGAAAAAGTAATTAAGTGGTCAAAGTAATCTGTCAAAGGCTAAGGAGCATAAAGTGCTATTTACATAGAATTTACATTGTATTACATTATTATAAGTAATCTAGAGATAATTTATTGACTGATGCAGGAAGCATCAAAAGAAGATGGAAAGAATACACAGAATCACTGTACCAAAAAGAATTGGTCAGCGTTCAACCATTTCATAATGTAGCATATGATCAAGAGTAGATAGTATTGAAGGAAGAAGTCCAAACTATGCTGATGGTATGAGCACAAAACAAGGCTTGAGAAATTGATAAAATACCAATAGAAATAGTTCAACAAACTGATGCAGCGCTGGAAGCACTTACTAGTCTATGCCAAGAAGTGTAGGCCAACCAACTGGAAGAGATCTATCTATTATTTGTGCCCATTCCAAAACAAGGTGACCCTTAAGAATGTGGAAATTATAAAATAATATCATTAATATAACACACAAGTACAATTTTTCAGAAGATAAAATACAGTTGCAGCAGTACATCAACAGGGAGCTGCCAGAAATTCAAGCCAGATTCTGCAGAGGATGTGGAATGAAGAATATCATTGCTGATGCTAAATGAATCTTGGCTAAAAGCAAAGACTACCAAAAAGATGTTACTTGTGCTTTATTGACTATGTAAAGGCATTTAACTGTACAGATCAAAACAAATTATGGATTACATTGTGAAGAACAGGAATTCCAGGACACTTAATTGTGCTTTTGTGAAACCATAAGGCAGTCTTTTAATCAGAACATGGAGCTACTGCATGGTTTAAAATCAGGAAAGGTGTATGCCAAGGTTGTATCCTTTCACCATAGTTATTGAATTTGTATGCTGAGCAAATAATCCAAGAAACTGGACTTTATGAAGAAGAATGCTGCATCAAGATTAGAGGAACACTCATTAACAACCTGCAATATGTAGATGATACAACCTTGCTTGTTAAAAGCAAAGAGGACTTGGGGAATTTTTGGTTAACATGAAAGACTGTAGGCCTTCAGTATGGATTATTACTAAATGCCAAGAAAGCAAAAATCCTCACATCTGGACCAATAAACAGCATCATTACAAATGAAGAAAAGACTGAAGTTGTCAAGGATTTCATTTTCCTTGGATCCATAATCAGTGTTCATGGAAGCAGCAGTCAAGCAATCAAATGACATACTACATTGGGCAAATCTGCTACAAAAGACTTCTTTCAAGTGTTACAGAGCAAAATGTCACTTGGAGGAATAAAGTGTCACTGACTCAAGTCATGATATTTTCCATTACCTTATACACATGTGAAAGTTGGACAACTAAATAAGGAAGAGCAGAGAAGAATTGATGCATTTGAATTATGGTGGTGGAGAGGAATATTAAAAGTACTATGGACTGCCAAAAGAGCAAAAAAAAAAAAAAAAACAAAACAAAAAAAAAACATCATGACCAAGTGAGATTCACATTAGGGATGCAAGCATGGTTCAACTTTGGAAAAAAAAAAAAAAAAAAAAAAACCTGTCTTGGAAGAAGTATAGTCAGAATGTTCCTTTTAGAAGAGAGGATGGTGAGTCTGCGTCTTACATACTTTGGACATGTTACCAGGAGGGACCAGTCCCTGAAAAGGGACACCATGGTCGGTAAAATAAATGGTCAGTGAAAAAGAGATGGACTGACACCGTGGCTGTAACAATGCACTCTAACAAAATAACAATTGTGAGGTGTGGTTCAGGACCAGACAGTGCTTTCTTCTGTGTGCACCGGGTCACTATGAGTTGGAGGTGACTCAAGGACACCTAACAACAAGAATAAGAAAGACGATTTAAAGAATATGAGAGTATGTACACAGATTATATGCAAATATTGTGCAATTTTATATAAGGGGCTTGGGGTGTGAGCATCACAGATTCTGGTGTTCATGGGGGTTCCTGGAACCAATCCCCAGCAGATAACAAGGGATGACTGTAAGTGTGTCTATGTTTACAACACTGACCAATGCATGGAATTGTCCTCAGTAAGTGGCAGGAGCCAAAGGCCAGTGCCCCAATCCAGCTTCATGGCCAATTCTTTTACTAGCAACACATTTACCATCATAAGATTGATTGTAAACTCAGTGATGAGCTAGCACTTTGCTTGCCTTTGACTTTTTCCTTTATTTGCCTTAAGCCCAGAATGATCCAACTCCAATCTGTCATAACCTCTGTATTACTTTCATAGATTCATATGAATAAAAGACCAAACCAGTTGCCTACAAATCGATTTGCCTCATTGTTACCCCATGAGTTCAGCACAGAACTGTGCTCCACAGGGTCTTCAAGGCCTTACTACCATGGCCCTCTGGGTGGGTTCAAACTACCAACCTTCCTGTTTGTTAGTCGTCGAGCACTTAACTCACCACCCAGACACAAAATGAAAGGTTTCTAAACGTTTGCAATAACATATGGTAACTGCCATCACCTGTTTATAACACATCTACGCAATGACTTGAATCTTTCAACTCAAAAGCAAACTTGGAAAGTGGCTGTGTCCACTGTTTACCTTGGGAAGCCTTTTCCTCTGGAGGAATAATGACATAGTATCCCGGCCTGAGTTACATGGATTCACTTCTTTGATTTCAATGGTATCATCAGACAAAAAGTAATGCAGGATGAGTTCTCGACGGTCCCCAAACAGTGAAGTTGTGTCGTCCCAAAGGCAGAAGAAACGTAAAACCTGCTTATCATACTCAAGAAACTGTTTCAGGGTGCTGAGGGACTCATAGGGACGCAAGGGTTTCATGAGCGCTTGCAGCTGCAAATGGAAAAACAAAAAGGAAATAATAGTTCTAGGTTTTGAATAATCACTTCTGGGATGTAAGCAAGCAATCAGATGACTTAAATACATCTTTTCTATACACTATTCTATGATTTTTTTCCCCAAATTTCAACTAATTATGACATATTTTGTATGCATATTGTACATGTTGTTAAGTGCTGTCATGTCAATTCTGATTCATAGCGGCCCTATATAGGGTTTCCAAAGAGCAGCTAGTGAGTTTGAACCACCGACCGTATGGTTCAAACCAACTTTGTGGTCCAGTGTTTTATTCCACAGCACCACATCAGAACTCCATATTACACATTGTTGTTGTTGTTAAGTGCCGTGGAGTCGGTTCCTACCCATAGCCACCCTGTACAGGGTTTCCGAGGCTGTAAATCTTTACGGGAGCAGAAAGCCTCATCTTTCTCCCGTGGAACAGCTGATAGTTTTGAACTGCTGACCTTGCAGTTCGCAGCCCGATTCGTAACCACTACATTACCAGAGCTCCTGTATTACACATACATTGGCATATATGCATACATAACCAGTTTTAACCATAAAACTACCGAAAAGAAGTATTAGGGAGTTTTTCATATTAAGCATTATCTTAGTATATACTATTATGGTTACGAATCAGGCTGTCAACTGCAAAGTCAGCAGTTCAAAACTACCTGCCATCCCTCAGGAGAAAAATGAGGCTTTCTGCTCCCGTAAAGATCTACAGCCTCAGAAACCCCACGCAGAGTTGCTATAAGTCACAGCCGACGCCTCGGCACACCACCATGGTGACCAACATAGGTTTGCAGTAATTTCGAAAACTGGCTTTCCTCAGTTGAAAACTTAAAATTATCATTTAAGAACAGCCAAAATAAATCTACAGTGTCCAAAATTCAAATCGTAATGGTCTCTGGACAGAGGATTAACTGGAAATGGGGACAAGGGATCTTTCTGGGATGCTGGAACTATTATAAATCTTGATTTTCATATTGGTTACTCAGTTGGTTATATTTTTCAAGGCATTGATCACTTTAGATTTGTGCATTTGACTCTATATTAATTAGGTCAACCAAAAACATAAGTTGTCTTTTACCTGAATCGGACTGCGAACCTTAAGGTCAGCGGTTCGAAACTATCAGCCGCTCCGCGGGAGAAAGATGAGGCTTTCTACTGCCGTAAAGATTTATACCCTCGGAAACCCTGTACAGGGTCGCTATGGGTCGGAACCGACTCGACGGCACTTAACAACAACAACAACAACACACACATATATATCCTTCTTACTCATTCCAAAAATTTTGTGAAGGGAAATGGTAAGATTATATATTCAATGTTAAGTTTTGCTCAAAAGATTTGAAATACTGAGAGCATAAAAGCCCAAAGCAAACATGAGTAGAATAAATGGAGAACTTCCAAGGCAGCACAGAACTCTTGTCTGGGCTTTGTCATCTGCCCCAGGAACTACTGACTTTGTAATTTTCATGATATATCTATCTCTTCCCTCTCTTTGCACATTCTCATCTCTGTCTTAGAGCAAACTGTTCCCATTCTATCTGACTGGAGCTAAGAAAGATTGTTATATAAGGAAGTATTCATTGGAAAGGGAGATTTGTGTTATGCAACCTTTTGAGTAAATTCTTGAAATTTTTTATCCACCCAGATACAAATTTTGTATCTGGGTTCAGTCTTACTCAAAGCCAGGGAAGAGACCAAGTCTCTTCAGTCTTATCCTAGTTATTAAAATGAAATTATAGGACCTCTACTTCCATCGATTAAAACATATTTCTCTGGCATTATAAGGCTCTATGAAATGCATTGATTATATACCACTGGGACTCTTTTCAGTTTAAGTTAAATTGCTTAATTTTAATTTTACATTTCAAAGCAGAAAACACTGGAGAAGTAAATGCACAAAAGTCAATCTAAAAGCCTCCTCTATTAGACTCCTAATTTTCCACAGATTTTAGTATTTGTTGAAGGGCTTTCTCCCTGAGGGAATAAATGCTAAAATGAGTTTCCAAATTTGAAATACAATTATTTAAAACAGTGCTTGGTTGTTATTGGTACTTATTCTCAATTCCTGGCATGAGACTGTAAGAATTTTATTTTAGAAATCTATGAAATACTAAAGTATTCTGTGTATTTCATATATGCACCATCATTCAAAATCACTATAGTGTTATAACAACTGCTAATGAGTACCCCCATATACAAAGGATGGTCATTCATAGGGACTCATTTATTTTAGGTTCTCTCTTGCTGGTTCTAAAGACTTTGTATTTATATGGACTTTTTCATCCAAGGCATTTGGAGAAATTTTAAGAAAACCCAAACCAAAACTTGCACATCAAAACACATAGGTATTTCCCTTAAGACAGCCCACCATCATTAGTAGTTATGTCTCAGTAGGGCCATATACCTATAACATTACAGAAAAATTCTGCTAGGGCTAGAATAATAGGGAATAGGAAAGAAGTAACAGATGAATGATACTACATGCAGCTTTTAAAAAGAGAGAGTAGAATCAAAGGAGAATTTTATTCTAAATGTTCTAAGTTTTCTTTCCACAAGAAAATTAATTACAAAGTTTAAAAACAATACAAATCAAATAAACCTAATCTATGGTAATGGGAAGGAGCTCTGGTAGTGTAGTAGTTACAAGTTGGACTACTAACCTCAAGGTCAGCAGTTCAAAACTACCAGCCGTTACGCGGCAGAAAGATGAGGCTTTCTGCTCCCATAAAGATTTAGAGCCTCGGAAACCCTATGCAGGGGCACTATGAGTCGGAACCGACTCACGGCACACCACGAGAAGAATTGATTGGAAGAGGAATGAGGCAACATTCGGGGAGGATGCAAATCTTTTATATCTTGATTGGGTATAAGTTAACATGTGTTTTCCAAGACTCATCCAAGTGTACACTTAATGTTTGTATATTTACTATATGTAATCATACTTCAATAAGAAGAGATAAGAGAAATAAATAACATTAAAAATCAGGGTTAAAAATCAAGAGATTTGAGTTCAAGTCCCAGCAAAGCAATGTAAGTTCCCATATGACACTTTACCATTCTAGTGTTCAGAATTTTTGTTTTTTTCTGTAACAAAATTTGGGTCACAGGATCACTCAAAAACTTTCAAAAGTTGGCACTGATTCTTTCCTCCCTACACGAATGGGTCAGACCTTAAAGACAAGCATCCCTTTATAAGGGGGGAATGCCTCAGAATCATGTCCTTCCCTCCATCCTCCAAATCATCTCTGCATCCAAAGCCACCATAAGAGGAGCCTGGAAGAAGGAAAAAGTACACAAGACTTGGTTTAGGAAATCAACCCAAAGACAGAAAGAGTTTCCAGTGAGGATCTATGCAACTAAAATGGGAAAAGATAAGCCAGACAAGTGCAGCGACCACAATGCCTGTCCTGGTCACCTAGAAATTGCCCCACCTCCAAAACTCACTGAAAACTCCTACTGACTGTAAGGGAGACTCACCATGGAGGGGTGGTGAGAAAAAAATAGGGGGATGGGAAGGAAAGCGAGGGAGTCATTCCTGCTCTGACGCTGACCCCCACCCTCCCTACAGCCCCAAAGGAAACAGGATATAGAGTAACATGGTGGTGGTGGTGGTGGTGTGCTGTAGAGTTGGTTCTGACTCATAGAGACCCTGCATAGGGTTTCTGAGGCTGTAAATCTTTACGGGAGCAGAAAGCCTCATCATTCTCCCACAGAATGGCTGGTAATTTCGAACCATTGACCTTGAGGTTAGCAACCTAACCTGTAACCACTATGCTACCAGAGCTCCTTATAGAGTAATATAGTGCCCCCAAATCTAGTTCACATCTGCCTTAGAAGCACCCATACCCTTTACTGACTCTCTCTCCAAAGGGCCAGAACTTAAGAGGGTATTCATTTCTTACCATTTTCCGTCCTTTCATATACGGATCTTCTGGACACTTCACTGGTGAGTTTAATTTGACTCCTATTTTCCTCAAAAAGTTTTTTGTGAATGTATCACAGTCATAAATCTTGAATGTCCGGCCATAAAACACAACGTCAGTGTTGATATTGAAATGATATACAGTATAAAACTTATCCTCATCAGGAGGTGGGAGAGAAATCCGATGACGCCGGATAGAAGTCCCTATGGCATGAAATGAAATAAAATTGTTTTATCACATGGCTAACAAGTCAGAGATTACAGCATAGCTCCTAAACAACCCTAGCTGCTCTCCCCCTGCAGGGAAATGGCAGAGGTTTATTCTTAGAAACAGCATTAGTATAGTTAAACTCTAAAGGGGATCAGAGGAAGCATGGGCATTGAGAATTCTGAGCCCTGCATATCACTAGAGTTATCTACATGATAGAAGTATAGACTAGGGGAGCAGACTGTAAGCAGAGTGACCCAATGAGCCGCACACTGCTAACAGGTGTTTTCTCAGAACAAGCATGCTCATTTTTGGCCAGCAGCACTCAATGTGACCACACTAAACAAGGTACTAAGGCCCCAAAGCAGATTGCTCACAAAAAGTATACTCCAGACTCAAAAAAAAAAAAAAATAATAATAATAATAAGCTTCAGTATGGTACGTTCCAACACTGTGATTTACAGCTTTTAATAAGCATGAATGACTTCAGGCTGTTTTGAATCTTCATGGAATCTTCTTTCTTCTACCAACGTCTTCTTCCTTTTCCTCCCTTCACAGCCTCTGCCCATCTCCACTCACTCACTGCCAAGTCAGGGTTATCAGAGGCTTTGTATTTTTAGCCAGTACTACGACTCGGGCTGTGAACCGCAAGGTCAGCAGTTCGAAACTACCAGCTGCTCCGCGGGAGAAAGATGAGGCTTTCTACTCCCGTAAAGATTTACACCCTCGGAAACCCTGTACAGGGTCGCTATGAGTCGGTTCCGACTCCACGGCACATAACAACAACAACAACTCAGCCATAGGTCCTGTGTCTTATTCCATTTTCTCAGTCCAACCCTAGAATTCCTGTTCATTTCTCCTCTGAGAATTTGGACCTAAGATCCCCAAGCACAACCAAAATGATGGTTAGCTACTGGAGATAAAAGGGTTCCCTGCTTTGATGAATGTACCAACTGTACCACACCATATCAGCCACGTTTTTTTCTATCTCTTGTCAAGAATTGTACAGGGTGATATTTTATCCGACTTACAAGCTAACAAGTAGCCTACCACCGTTTCATGAATGCTGGCAGTTGACAGGCGATGCTTTGGTCAGACAAAGAGCAGTTTCTTATTAATCACAGCAATAACAAAACCAGAACAAAACAAGACCACTGCCATCAACTCTATGCCAACTCACAGAGACCCTGTATAGGGATGCTGAAGCAGTAAATCTTTACGGAAGTAGAAAGCCTCACACTTCTCCCATGGAGCCGTTAGTAGGTTTGAACTGCCCATCTTGCAGTTAGCAGTCTGGTGCTTCTCCAACAGCACCACTAGGGCTCCTACAGCAATAGCAGTAACCATAATATCAGCATTCTCTGTACCAGTTCTCTGAGCCCCAATTCCCACAGCAAATTCACAAAGTAACACCCGCACCCACAATGAACTACACTATAGGAGAGAAATTATAAGCTTAGTGGACCCGAATCTTTTATAGTAGGCAATAAGCATGCTTGCCCTTTGCACTAGAGGGAGACATCATCTTTATAATACTGGACAGTAAGCATGTCTGCCCTCTCTTCTTGAGAAAAACACTACTTCTATCTTCCAAAACTGTATTTTGTTCCAGAGGGAAAAACTATCTCTGTCTTCCAAGGTTATTTGCTAACCTTTGAAGAAATAATCCAGAACAAAGAGCAGTCATGTCTGCCTGCAAGATGTACAGAAAAGCGAGATACCTATGAAGAATTTTTTCTTAACACCTATAAATGACTTCTTTCAGAAAAATCTACTTAAGAGCAAAGGAAAAAGGGAACCAGGACAAACTAAGACTCGAATGCTTTAAAAAAAGTTGGCTTGTATGACCTCTGTATAGAGGTATTTTAGTATAAAGACGTCAACCTGCCTTCTTCATATTTTGTATAGCACTGAGAATGGTTCCTTTTCCCAAAGTCTACTAATGCTTAGAAATTATGCATTCGTTATTCATTAAGGAGCATTTAGTGAATATCTTTATGTGCCAGGGACTGTGCTGGGCTCGGCCCCATTATTCTACTTACCATCTTCTCATTCTGCTGAGGGGAAATTAACTAAAATCATTTTCATTTTCTTTTCTTTGAAGCAATTTTTAATTACTTGGCACATTAAATTAAAATAATAAAACTATAAAATTTAGAACTGTCCTAGAATATTTTTTAAATGTACTACATAAAAGATGATATAATTTTACTGCAAAAAATTATACTTCAATTAGCCTTTAATTCATGCCACTGAAAACAGTATGCAAATTATTTAACCATTCAAGATTAGACATTTAGAACAAATTGCATACTTAAACATCTATAAAAGGATGGGCATTTCAGGAACCATTATATACCTCTTTAAAAATGCTTATATTGTAACAGTTTTTTAAAATATAGACAGTTTATTAATCAGCCATGAGCTTCTTCAGAAATTCCATTTATCTGGCATTTGTACTTCATTATAAAAATTCAAATAAGCAAGTTGGTGCTGGTTAGATTTTGAATAGGAATCCTACATTGCCTAGGAGGGAAAACTGGCCAACCCGCTGGGCCTTTAAGTAGTAATCATCATCATCTTAAAATAGGATGTGCTTTCTTATACATTTTCTTATTTATTCCTCAATAATTCCATGAGGCAGGTAATGCATGTAATATAAATTACAGTTTATGAATGAGAAAACCAGTGCTCAGAGTGGTTAAGTGACATGCCCAGAGTCACACCGTGAAAATAGATCTTGAGTCTGGGTTTTCAGACTCTAACTAACTACTCTATTTTCCATAGTTACCACTGTACTGTGTGGCTCACTGTAATGCAGCCACAAATGACTTAAGGGAAGATAAGAAGGAAGAGTCAGAAGCAAAGCAGGATAGAAATGGGTAGAAGAGCTACCAGGCACCATGAAAAGGTGATCAAGATGGAGCAACTCTTTCCAAAAAACAGCCTCTCTTCTTTCTCTGACAGTGTTTCTCTGCTATTCATAAGGTTTTCAGCGACTAAATATTCAGAAGTAGTACTGTAGAAGAATTTATGTTTTTGAGTTACGGTGTTGGAATACTGAAAGTGCCATGGGCTGCCAAAAGAACCAACAGATCTGTGTTGGAAGAAGCATAACCAGAGTGTTCCTTGGAGACCAGGATGGCTAAACTTCCTCTCTCATACTTCGGACATATTGTCAGGAAGGATGAGTCATGTTTGGTTAAGGTGGAGGGTCAGAGAAAAAGAGGAAGACCCCCAGCAAGATGGACTGGCAGAGTGGCAGCATCGATGGGCTCAAGTGTGGCAACAATTGTGAGGATGGCCCAGGATCGGGCAGTGTTTCATTCTGCTGTGCATAAGGTCACTATGAGTCGGTACCGACTCAATGGCACTTAACAACAACTTCTTTCTCTGACAGAAAATTTCCAGACAGAATTTACTTTTTAGTCACAGCAATCCCCCAACCATGACCAGCCACACTGTATTACCTCCCCACACCCAGGAATCTGCATATATCAGACCCCCTACTCTAAGATGCCTTATTGCAAGAACCTGCTTATATCAGACACACACCCCACCCCCACTGTAAGGAGCCTTGGTGTGGTGCTGAGGGTCAATGTGCTGGACTGCAAAGTTGGTTTGAACCACAAGATTTAGGCTCACCGGTCACTCCTCAGAAAACCTATACAGGGTTACTAAGGGTTGGAACAGACTCAATGACACTTAACAACAACAACAGAAACTGTAAGATAAGCACTAGACCACAAGGTGGGTTTGAACTTCAAGGTCAGTGATTCAAACTCACCAGCCACTCCTCAGAAACCCTATACAGGGTCACTATGAGTCAGAACCGACTCCACAGTACTTAACAACAACACACTCTTTCTTACTTTAGCCCTCCACTTGTTTTTACTAGTTGGCTCTCAGAAGAGCCCAGGAAGTTCTTTGTGGTACAAAAAAAGTCTTGGCCATCCACAGGCTAGAAAGAGATGAAAGGTCTAACACTAAACAAGGAAATCTGACTAAGGAACAAACCGAGCCACTTGAAATTTACAACTGCATATGATAGATTTCAATAATGTATTTGTGGGATCTCTCAACTGTTTCCTTTGGAGGATTAAGATTTCTATTTATTGGTATTTATGTGACTACACTCTCCCCTAATAAATGGCAGAAACTCCACCAGAAGGAGTGTTTTCTGGAGTTGTGAAGAAATGGGCCAGATGCCAGGTCTTTGGCCCATATTAAAGCACAAATGAGATCATTAAGGCATATAAATTAAAATAATGTTAAAAATGTTAAAAACAACAATAATAAAAGCACTACATCTGCTCTTTAAATTTTCAGATATTTATCTTTTTAACTGCCCTACAAAGGCAATTTGGGCAGATGTATAGACACTAGGTACCTGCTTTTAAACTCTTCCTTATCTTCAGAGTTACATCTCCCTTCTAAAAGCACATCTATCTGATTATACTCTGCAAGCTTTAACTTTCTAACATTTCCCTATGGTTTAGATCAAAGTGACCATAATATAGCCATTTATGTTTAATGTGTTTTCATCTCATTCAGTTGGGACTTGCCTTAGATCTTTGCTCATACCACTAAATTTAGCTTTTTGACATGCACCGTTCAACCTATTCTTTTTTTTTTTTAGATTAACTAAGATTCCAACCTATTTACTTTATCTTAATTTTAAGTATGTTTATTTCATTTTAGCGACTTTTCAGATGGAGTCCTGGTGTGGCGTTGTAGAATAAGCACTAGACTGCTAACCACAAAGTCAGTGGTTCAAACCTACCAGCCGCTCTTCGGAATCGATTATACGGCACTTAGCAACAACAACATTGCAGACCCAGGGTACATCCAAGTCTATAAACAGCATTTCTAGGTAAATGAACATAAAATTTGAATGGCTACTTGCCATATGTCTCTTAAGACCCTTAATTGTAATCAGACATGATATAGAATCCTTTCTTCTTCTTGTATTAACTGTTATTACTTCACTAAAAAG